AACGTGACACACGACTACGGCAATATATGGTTTATCTGAGTTCTTATTATTATAATTTTCATTCAAATAAAGTATATTTATAATGCAATAACTTTATCACTGCTTAAATACTATGAAATATGTTGCGTGCCTTATTCTGTGTAAGAAGCCACATCATCTCACAGAAGGATTTATTTCAAACACTCGACTGACGTTATGAAGTGAGTTTGGAGTAAAAATATGTTATTAAATGTGGTATTTTCACATGCTTTCAGATGGAGCAGCATTTACTTCACAGAGCCGTAGTTCACTGAGAAGCTATGCAAACAGCTGTCATTATCGCAAACGATTTATTCGATTTCATAATCGCGCAATAAAATCGTCTGCTATTTTTTTTTGCGTAACTTGTCAGTGAACTACGGCTCTGTGTAGTAAATGCTGCTCCATCTGAAAGCACGTGATGATGATTTCCTGCTGATTACAGAACCGGCTTTAATAACAAAATGCGCATGACAATCGCATTCGACTAATCGTGCAGCCCTAGTTGCCATTATTGTTGAAATTCTATTTGGTGTAGTTTGACAACTCTACATTCAGGGCCTTGTGGAAAATCTGACAAATAAAAATGGAATTAATTGTGGAATGTAGAATTTCACTGATTTTTGAAATTCATTTGAAATGAGATGCTTATTTATCCTGTCAAATACACACAAACTCACTGGGCTTCACTCATTTTTCTGCAAAAAAAAGTTAAATTCAATAACAATAAAAATAATAGTAATATTTTAAATAACAATTTAAATTAGCCATGTATTTTAGGTGAAATTAATGTAATTAATTCACTTAATTTGACAAATTTTTGACAACAAGTCATCCATAAAACGTATTTCTTGTGTCTTTATTTATTTTTTGCAAATTGGTTTGTTTGGACAGTCAATTAAGAAACTATTAAGTGAGATGTTTTTCAAACGGCAGTGCTGCTCTGTATGTGGCATTTCATCGTTTTTGTATGTTGTTGAGTTTATATTTGCTACATTTTTTTTTCTTTGAAAAATAGCTGTTTCTTAGTATGTTGATTCAATGTGTAGTTTTAGTTGTATTGATTTATATGTGACCCTGGAGCACAAAAGCAGTCTTAAGTCACTGGGGTATATTTGTAGCAATAGCCAACAATACATTGCTTGGGTAGGGCTATCGCGATAACCGCAATATCGCGCTATTGACGAGCAAACCGCAGAGGAATGCAAGAACCGCAGAAACCGCGATTTTTCCGTGTTGTATTTTTTCGTAAGGTTATGCCCTTCTCGTTTTACACTTCATGCATGTGGACTGAATATTAAACAAGTTAGTAATGATAACATAATGTGTACCATGCTGATTTGTACAGAGGCTTCTTAGATTTGCACTTAACAAGCCTAAACAGACAGTGAATGAGAGAGAGATCGACTGAGCGCGTGCGATTACTTGCGTCTGTCCTCCAGGCAGAGTCATATATATTTGTGAAAATAGGTTGTCATGCTCAAGGAAAGCGAAATCTCTGTCTTAGCATCGACGCATAGCTGGTCAGCGGAGCCTTTTAAAGTGGCGCTCAAAGTTAAAATGATTTCAACAGCGTGCTTCATTACGTCTCTTTGAATGAATGAATCAGCGTTTTTGAACGTGTAGTTGAATGACAATCCCTTTCCACCACCTTGTGGTGCAACACTGTAACTGCACTGACTGACAGCCGTCTAGAAGGCGCACAGGAGGAAATATCATTAGAAAGTCTCTTGTCCAGTCAGATTAGAAAATCAGATTACAACAAGGCTAACTGTTATACATATAGGCTAACGATAGCCTAACGAGCTTATTGTCAGGTTTATGGTCTGTTAAGTGGATCGTTATTTTGTCATTCTCTTCTGTTCACTTCCTGTTTCAACGTTATTTAGTTTCCGTTTCATTGTCTTCTGAATATGACCTCGTTAGTTATATCGTAACACACACACGAATTATATATATATATATATTTATGGCGGTAAAACCGCATACTCAAAATTGAGCCACTCAAAATTACCGCAAGGGAAATTCCCTCACCGCGACAGCCCTATGTATGGGTCAAAATTATTGATTTTCCTTTTATGCCAAAAATTATTAGGATATTAAGTAAAGATCATGTTCCATGAAGATATTTTGTAAATTTCCTACCGTAAATATATCAAAGCTTAATTTTTGATTAGTAATATGCATTGCTAAGAACTTAATTTGAACAACTTTAAAGATGATTTTCTCAATATTTAGATTTTTTTGCACCCTCAGATTCCAGATTTTCAAATAGTTGTATCTCAGCCAAATATTGTTCTATCCATGACTGGTTTTGTGGTCCGGGGTCACATGTTTAAGTTTAGTGCTGTCACACTGATTGAGATCTGCCTTTGTGCAAGAAAGAAGCAACAATTCTAAGAATTCTAAGAAAAAAAAACATTAACGTCCCTCTTAATATAGTTGCAGCGTAGTTAGCTCTTTTGTTAGTAACCCATAGTTTTAGTTTAACTACTGCCAAGCTACAGTTTCAGCTGAATATCCCAGCGCTTCACAGAGGAGGCTGTGATCTGTTTTTCAGAGCAGCTGGTCCCAGCAGAATGTCCTGAACGCAGCAGATAGATCAGATTAAACCCCTCACCCCTATTTACACAAATGACAGAGAACAGGACCAACAGGGTGCGTGTTTGTACAAGAGCCTGTAATACATTTGACAGTGTCCCATACACAACATGAATAGCTCTCCGATATGTCCATATGTTTCTGTAATGGCTCTCATGTATCTGTTCTGAAGAGCTGTTGCCATTCCTGATGTGATGGTCTGTGCTGCAGTGGTTTGTAATGGGTTGCAAAGGAAGGGCTGCCACACACACAACTACTGCTCAATAAGCTCAGATTCAGAGGCATGCTGAGGGCGCTGAGCAAAGCTTCACTGGAGTGGTATTATGCTGGTGGTACACAACAACAGTGCTGAGACTCGATTTCTGCAGGTTCTGTTTTCATGGCATCGATTTCTAGCTGAATTATGGATTTGTTTTGGCACTGTGCACCAGCAGTATCTTTGAATAACTTTGAAATTGAGAAAGTTTCTGAAATTCAAACTTTGAGCCTAGAAGGATTCATGGAATGAATATGTTTTAAGAATAGAAGTAATGTGCTTAAGAATATGTTTTCATATTGAAACAATATTTTATTATTGGAGCTTTCAAACATGAACTATTTTAAGTATTTCTAATGGTAACACTTTAGGGAGCAATTCTCACTATTAACTAGTTGCTTATTAGCATGCATATTACTAGAATAGTGGCTGTTTATTAATACTTATAAAGCACATATAAATGTCTTATTCTGTATGACCATATTCTAGATCCCTTAATCCTACCCCATACCTAAACTTAGTTTAGCCTTACTATTCATAAATGGCAAATTAGGAGTTTGAGACAAAAGTCGTAGTTAATAGCGACTAGTCCCTAACTAGTAATTGGTCCCTAAACTAAAGTGTGACGATTATGATATATTAAAAATGATCAGCTGGTGCGACTAAATTTGGTTGGAAGGTCCTCTAGGGTTACTACAAAAAGTTAAAATTAAGTTTAAAAAAATGCATTAAGGAATAGAATAATTTAGTAAAGACAATTTTTTTTAATGAGTTTAAAACTTGTGTGCTATGTTCTTAGAAATGTATTCATGTTGGTTTCATAGGATTTTGATAAACTTTTATACCATTTTCAAGCAGTTTAAATTTAATGAATGTAATTTTAATGTCAATCAAATGTAATGTGTTGTTGCCATCAAATAAAAAGTAATAACATATTTTCTTTACATTTTAACTACATATCAGTGTACACATCTTAAACAACACTTGTTTTTCAGGATTTACATTTTAAAAATTGATAGTCATATATTTCTTAGTTTGTGGAGAGTTTCTCCACCTGACATTTTACCACCTGAAATCTTGCCTTTTCATGGAAAATTGATCAAAATATTTCACATTTTAGAAGACCTAATGACTGTGGTACTCACTATGATATAATTCCTGTATTGTTTTGTGTTTCTTTGAATCCTAAAATAGTTAGTATCATTAGTATAAAAAATATGACTGTTGAATATGACTATTATTATTGCTAGTTGTGTCCTTTAACGTTTAAGTTAAAGGTGCTGCTGCCACATCTCTGTACAGCTTCGCTCTCATATGCTAGTCTCTGGCCCTACATATTGTTTCTCAACTTCTCTGTGACTACTAGAGACTGTAAAGATGTTGTCATAGCACTGCGTCTGCATACAGGAAGGAAAGCGACGCTTCCTACCATGTGTTTTCAACTAGTCATGGTGCAGAGAAGAGGCTAGAATTACCATCAGCTCACGTTTGCTCATTGTTTGTGGAAAAGACAGGAACATGTCATGCAGCCAGTCTTAAACATCCGTTTTGTGACCTCTTCAACATCCCGTACTTCCTAATCCACTGCATCAAAATGATATTGTTTTCATAATTGAGGAAGTAGAATAAAGCCTTTCGATTCGAGCAATAAACCCACATGGTGCAGCATGCTGCGATTTATATAGGCCTATGCTGCTGATGTGGCGGTCTTTACACCATTCGGGCCATTGTCCTGGTGCATAATACAGTGATGGGGCATTTTTAACTCCATGTTCTACAGTATGCTGTGCTGTAATCCAGTAAATGGCACAGAACTTCCCAGCAAGCATCATTGTGACCACAAACGCTGTCCTTGCTGCATGTGTATGTTGCATTTCTATGTTTGCATCCAAAAACTTTTGTTTCATTTGTTGCATTTTGCATCTTTCATTGAAAGGCACATTAGAAAGAAAGCATGAAAAATTAAATGTGGGGGGAAGAGGAAGTGTTGCCTGTTTGGCTGCCATGTTTGTTACTGTTCTCTAGCCACTGTGTGTAGCTTTTACATACTAAAATTTTAAATAATATCTGTTTATGGTCACACACAAACTTTTTAAAAGACCACACTCTTTGTCCCTATCCACAGGCCAGAAGACCCTGCAGCACAGCGGGGATGTGCTTGAGACCCAAGTGATAGTCAACCCATCTCATGATTTGGTTTGTTCAGAGGTGAGTGTTGAAGTGCTTTGTGTAGTTTGCAATACATTAATATCAACACACATGCACTTAGTATAATTGGTTTGTAGCTGGAATTTAAGTATAGTCGGCAATACAAAATTAAGCAACATTGTGTTAGTGATTTTTTTTTTAATTGGGCTTTTATATTTCTCAAATAAGACATCATTAAGGTGTGGTCACATTAGCGAAATTGCAGCGACATTTAATGTGCAAAAAGCCCATTGTCAATAGCATTGAGTTAAGAAATCTGTATGATTAACTTTTTCATCCTCACACAAAACGACTGGATTTTGCCCGTGAAATTTCACAGAGCAACGGTAAATGTTACTGCACCTTTAGACTAGTTTTGCAAATTGGAAGACTAGGAAGGATTCACAAATATGATAGTTTTATGTTAAGAAATCAAGCCATATCAGAGCAGATATACAGTATATTGAATATAATTTAAATACTAGTAAACTCTTTATTAAAAAAATTATCTATGCTTTCACATTTTCTAATGTCTCTCCCAGTTCTAGCTTGCACTATTCTAGACAATGTTTGAAAGTTTGTATTGCTTAGCTTTTCTTGTGTTGTACCCAACCCTAAATCAAAGTCGAATTCACATTTGCTTTTATGATGTAAATTAAATATTGGTTTTGCTGTACGATTACAAACAACATCCTCAGTTCCTTCACTGTTCTCTGTCCACTGCAGTTCTTCTCTAATAAATGTATGAAAGCTATTTGACTGGTATTTACTCGGCGTTAGACCGTGTAAATACAGGGGAAATGTTGACACATTCCTTGAAGTACCTTGTTCGGTTATATTTGCTCTTGATATTTATTTGCTATCCAGAGCAGCAACCAAGTGTCCTCTTTTAAACGTTCTTAAAATTTTGTACTTAGGGTCTCGATTTGTGGTCTAAATACTGTTTGTACAGTTTATTATGAGCTCTCTAACAAAATTTAAGTGGAACAGTCATTGCACATTTTAATGCTTGTCTTTATTTTCATAGGTTCGTCGGCTCATTTCCGATACGTCTCTTCACAAGCTGCTAATTCTTGCTGGACGATGTGTTGAAGACACTGGAGACCTTGTGTTACAAATAGGGTCTTTTTCATTAAATGACTTTATCCAGATATTTACAGATCAAGAGGTCAGTCAAGCATTTGTCGAACAAGTTGGTTATTTTGTAATTTTACTCTTTTAATAGTCAGAAACAATTTACATATTAACTAACTGTAATAAATATTATTATTCAAATTTTTTGTTCTCAAAACAGATTGGAGATCTTCTGACCTCTGCAGACCCTACTCAGAAAGCCAGCCTAACTCTGAGCTGTCCCGAATCTGGGATGTGGAAAAATTCTCAGTTGGAAAAACATAATTTGCAAGATTATATAGAAATTAAAACCAACCCTCCGTTAGTGCTCCCAGAGATGGAGGGCCTTCAGGAGTTTACAGAGTATCTGTCAGAGTCTCTTGAACCTCAGTTGCCTTTTGACTTGCTCAAGGCACCCAGTACAGTTGGCTTCCTAAAACTGTCCCGTCCCTGCTGCTATGTGTTTCCTGGAGGAAGAGGTGACAGTGCCTTCTTTGCTGTGAATGGTTTTAATGTCTTAGTCAATGGGGGGTCTGATTCTCGATCCTGTTTTTGGAAACTGGTGAGACATCTAGACCGAGTTGACTCAGTATTGCTCACCCATGTCGGTGTGGATAATCTACCTGGTATAAACAGCCTACTTCACAGAAAAGTGGCTGAACAACAAGAAGAGGAGTCCGCTGGATCGCAGAGAAATGAAGATTGGCAGAGGAATCTGATATCTCCAGAAATAGGGGTTGTATTTTTCAATGCTTCAGGAAGACTCAAAACATTACAGAGTGACTCCAAGGTCCTTCGAAGTAGTGATCAGGGTTCCCTAACATTACAGCATTTAGAAAGGTTGTCAATTCTTCCAGAACAGCTCAGTCGCTCTGCTGGGCCAGCTGTCGAGCCGGTAATTCTATTCCAGAAGATGGGTGTAGGTCGACTAGATCTTTATGTACTCAATCCAGTCAAAGGTAGCAAAGAACTAGAGGCTTTCTTGCAAACTTGGCCTGCCAGCACTCCGAATATAAAAACCTCAGAAATCCCTCTAGAGTGTATGGTGTCCATATGTGCACTGTTGGTATGGCATCCAGCTAATCCTCGAGAAAAGATCATTCGTGTTCTGTTTCCTGGGTGCACTCCAGAATCCAAGATCTTCGAGGGTTTAGGAAGACTAAAGCATCTAGAGTTCCTCAAACACCCAGAAGTTAGTTTGAAAGATCTTGAGGCATCAAAATGGGATAAACAGCCAAAGCGTGCTGAGAGCAAGGAAAGCCTTAAGAGTATTTCCAAAGAGTCTCGACCTGGTAGTGCCTCACTCAAAGACAAGGTAAGCAAAGTAGATTTGAAAAGGCAAGACACTAAAACAAAGATTAAACCCACTAATGACACCGTTCCAAAAGAAGGGAAAGAGGGTGAGGAAAAAGCGAAGCCAAAAGATGATGTGAAACAAAGAACTTCTAAGCCTGAAAAGCAAGTGGCTAAGAAAGAACCTGCTAAAGATGAAAAAAAGGAAGTTGGGAAGAAAGAGGAAAGGCCACCGACAAGTATTGCAAAGAAAGATGAGAATGTAGAGAAAAAGAAAGAACCCTTGAAAAAAGATCTTGGTGCAAAGCCCAAGAAAGATATTAAACATGATTTGAAAAAGGAGATCAAGAAAGAGGTCAAACCAGAAGACAAAAAAACTACCAAAACTCTTGGCAAGGATGTTAAGAAAGCCACTGGAAATTTGCCAGGCAATGCAGAGGCTAGAAAGACAGTTGGCAAGTATGGCTCACTAAAGAAAGATTTGACGCTCCCTAAAAAGGATCCTTTGACCAAAGGGAAGCCAAAGCAAGACAAAAAGGAGCCTGACAATCTGAAACCCTCAAGTGCAGTCCAGTCAAAGACATCTACACCTGAGGACATTACTGCCCAGTTGGAAAAGTTGGGGATGGAGAATGAACATGGGCCATTGGAGGATGTTGAAGGCAACCATGTGAGCTCAAGAACAGAATGTGCCTCTGAGAACAATGACAAGCAGGTGAATGGCTCTACAACAAATACTGATGAAAGTCCAGAGAAGTTTCGCAGTATGGATGGGGCCCCTGACTCAAACAGTGCTATTGGACTTCCCTCCCCACTTGCTCCAAAGAGTGAGAAAAGTGTTAATTTTGATATCACACCAACAGAGCTTGATGGATGCCTCAAAGACGATGTCTGTACAAGCTCGGATGAAAAAACCCTTGAGTTATTTTCCCCCACAGACTCTGGGAAGAACAGTTCAGGGCATTACCCACAATCCCCTGACAATTCTTCTCAGGTCTCTGGTGAAGATTGCAAGGTAGGTCTCAGGAACTCTGGTCTTGGTTTTGAAGACAGTCAGCAAGTCTGCAAGAACTCGATGGCAGGTTGTTCAAGAAGCAATATAGAAAACAGCTCCATATCATCACAAGATAGACAATCAAGCTTTCTCTCCTCGACTTCTCTTAAAGATACTCTACCCGATGCCTCTCCCAGCATCACTTCCTTTCCTGCGGAAGTTGGCTCTCCACACTCCACTGAAGTAGATGATTCGTTATCGGTTTCCTTCGAACAAGTGCCTGTTTGTCATTCACAGGAAGAGTTGGGCAGCTTGGCATACACTAATGGACATTTAGCAGACCGTGACCCCAAAACAGATATGTCTCATAATAGTCACCACGCATATGATGAATCAGAGAATCACCTCTTTGGACCACAGATTGACATCCTTCCACATGATGTCGATCTATGTCTGGTTTCACCCTGTGAGTTTAAGCATCACAATTCTCCAGAGAACCAACAGGGACTCTCTTCGGAGGTTCCTGCTCCAAGTCCTGACCTCTCTCTGAAGCCCGGTAGACTGACCTACCAGTGCAGTAGTAGCGATCATCAGTCTCTGGAAGGTCAGGAGATGACGTCCTCTGTCAGCGTCTCTCTCATCTCGGTTTCTGATTCTGATGTGCCACCAGCCACTGAAGAGTGTCCCTCCATTACTGAGGACTTGGACTCTGATGAGGACCCTAGTGACATCTTTCCACCACACCATCCTCACGACCATCCTAGCAGTCATTCGTTACACCACAATTCCCAGCATGTCTCTGAAGACCCTCCACCTGCCCCAATGAAAGATTTACCTCCACTGCCACCCCAGCCCGATGCCTGCATGGCTGACCCAGAGGCTGATGGTCAGGGTAGATCTTCCAAGAATGTAACATCAAAGACCAAAAAATCAGCACCTGTGTCCACAAAGACTGCATCTGCAAACATCGTAACACAGGGTGGGAAGACAAAGACTGGTGCTCAGGTGTCTGCCAGTGGAACTATTCGGCCAACATCCAGTCTGGACACCAGACCTGCATCCCGCAATGCTGTTAGCGGATCTAGACCAGTGCCTTCAAAGTCCTCATCCAGTAAGTGCTCATTGTTTCTTCCAGAAATATATTAATTGTACATGTGTTGGGGATCGGTCAGGACATTCGCCTAGTCAATTCGATAGGCTTTTTTTAGTGATGATAAATAAAAAGGACAGGAACTTAAAGGCTAACTGTAGTTTTTGGATTTTTGGTTGCATCTCTAAAGCTATGTTCACTCTGACAGTCCTTATCAGATTATTTGTATATCCACTTGGATTCTGATCTAAATGACTGACTGTCCTCACGGTGAATCGCAACTGTTCAGATTCGATTTGTGTGTCTCGTGACACGGTTTCGTTTAACAGAATATCTGCATTGGATTCAATGGCAATGACGGTGCATTGGTATGCCTACGGTAAAAATATGATTAGATTCCAATCGGATATGCACAAAAATTGGAACTGGACTTGCAATCTGGACAAGACCTAAATTCATGCCCTTAAAAGCGCTACTGCTACAACTATCAGTTGTTACAGCTTAGGTAACACATCAACAACTGCCTTCAGGAATGAATTTCAAGACAATCAATCTGGTCAATGCAAACCAGTGGCCTGAGCTCCGGGAATATATTGTCCATTTGTAACTCTGGTGTTTAATGAATCTTTAGAGTTCTAAACCTTGAATCAAACCAACCAGCTCCACATAAATAGCAGCGTTACATTTCATGAAGTGTGAAAAAACAGAAAAAAACTAAGGCCCAAAGCTTTCCATTTATATAGGAATGAATGAATGTAACAAATATGAAGTATAGAGGGAGGGAGATCAGTAAATGTGCTTTGAAGTCCAAATGTGCATAATGTTTTTGCTTCCCTTTGCAGGTTCTGTCAGTGCAAATTCAAGTTCAGTACCCATCTGTTTGGACTTGGCATATTTGCCCTCTGGCTCAGCAGCTTCCACTGTCGATGCAGAGTTTTTCCGGCGCCTCCGTTCATCCTGCTATATAATTAGTGGGGATGAACCACAAAAGGAAACAGTCATGAGATCTATTCTCAACTCTCTTTTAGAGGGCAAAGCATCCTGGCCAGATGTGCAGGTAAGTAGATGTTTTATTTATACATCACCTTTCCCAATCTCAAGGCGCTTTACAAAAGGAATAGTTCACCCAAAAATGAAAGTTCTGATCAAAGTTTACTCATCCTCATCATGTTAGCTCCCTGCACAGCTTGACAGTCCCACAAAAGACAGACAGTTACTTGACCGTTGTACTGATTAATAGTTGTTTAATCGTTTTCCATTCACCTGCAGGTGACTTTGATCCCCACGTTTGACTCGCTGACTATGCACAGCTGGTACCAGGAGACCCATGAGCGGCAGAGAGATCTAGCGATCACGGTACTTGGGAGCAACAGCACCGTAGCCATGCAGGACGAGACCTTTCCAGCATGCAAAGTGGAGTTTTAAAGACACCTGAAAAATCACACCCCTGCCTGTCACTAGAGCACTTCTGTTCACTCTCACAACGTTGTCTCTCATTTTCTTCACACATTTTATCTTGAGCAGCAGGGTGAAGCATTTCAGATGAATTAATCAGCAATTACTTTTTATCTGTAATGTTAACATCTACTCTAGCTGCTTATTAAAATGTTGTGGATTCTGTGTGAACAGGGTAGACAATGTTGCCTTTTTTTATGGCTATTTTTAGCAGTTTTACATTTGTCCATGTAATTGTATTCATTGCATCTATTTGATTATATAGAATGTTGGAGTTTCATCTGAACAATTTACCATATGTCATGGTCCTACATACACATTTTGCACAGTTTAGATGCCCATTAGAAAACTATGGCAGAATAGAGATAGACATCTGGGTTAACACTTGATATGTTTGTATTCCAGCGTTTCACTGTACAGATCCTGCACTAAATGATGCAGTGTTTTTTTTTCACCTTCAGCATGTTTGTTTTCTTTTAGGGAGGAAATGAAGGCAATTAAAATATTATGTTTTGTTTACCAGAACTGAACCACCTTTACCAGCTAGATAAACACTTCTCTAGTACAGTAATTTGTACCAATTAGATTTTCAGATTAAAACACAGCAGAAAATGTGGTTTCAAAATGTAAGCAAGATCAAATTATTTTAGTGCATCAAACGACTTATGTGAACACTATGTAGCAAAGTAAAGTATTTTTGTGAAGCATATTTGAAAATATATGAAGTGAAACATTTTAATTCTGCATTTATTGAGAGTGGAGAATATTATAGACTTTGCTTTTTTTGGGGGGGGGTAGAGACAACATGTGTACAAAGCTGAATGCCTTATTGTTCTTGCCATAATCGACAAACACTAACGCAGCATGTCATTCATGACACTTAATTTGAGTTATGAATACTTTTTGCTGATTACCTTGCTTTCCTGCTTTTTATTGAATGTCATGTTGACAAGCTCAACCAATGTGTATGTTGCCACAGCAATGGCTGCTATACTTTCTGAGAAATAAAATGTTTAATTGTGATCAGGTGGAGACATTTCCATAAAAAAAACATTTTCTTGTTTGTTTGGACCGTTATAAAACCATTAATGGAACAGTTAAAGCTTTACCTTTTCAAAATTGCACTTTTATTTTATTATATATTTTTTTTCTTTCCTGAGCAGATCAAATTATTTTTCTGAGGTACAAGTACTGTTTCAGAATTGTTTTGTGTAAAATGCTTTAAACTTTGGAGAAACCAGCCAAAAAAGAATAGAAAGTGTGTTAAATTTCACTAACAGGCGTATGTTTCAGTACTGAATTCCAAAATGTAAGTGTATTTTCAAATGTTAAATAAAATTGATAAATTAAGAATGAAAGTACAGTTGCGTGTGTGTGTTTTTTTGTTTGTCTTTCTGCAGTGGTGTAAGGACTCTGAAAACTGCACATTTCAAGGTCTGTGTTAATTTGTATGACACACATGCAACCGTATAAATGTGAATAACAAAAATGAATCATTTGGTTTGAATCTTTTTTTTTTTTACCCAGATAAAGACCTAAGTGAAAAGAGATTCATCAAAGACCAGAAATGTATTTGTGCAAGCTTAGGTTTCAAATTTGGGCAAAACTGAATGAAATTTCATCCTGCAAGCTGGTCAATACTGTTGTGTTGAAATATACAAGTGCATCTCAATAAATAGAATGTCGTGGAAAAGTTCATTTATATCAGTAATTCAACTCAAATTGTGAAACTCGTGTATTAAATAAATTCAATACACACAGACTGAAGTAGTTTAAGCCTTTGGTTCTTTTAATTGTGATGATTTTGGCTCACATTTAACAAAAACCCACCAATTCACTATCTCAACAAATTAGAATATGATGACATGCTAATCAACTCAAAACACCTGCAAAGGTTTCCTGAGCCTTCAAAATGGTCTGTCAGTTTGGTTCACTAGGCTACACAATCATGGGGAAGTGGTGTTGGTGTGCTTGACTGGCCAGCAAACTCACCAGACCTGAACCCCATAGAGAATCTATGGGGTATTGTCAAAAGGAATTCTTGCATGAGAAACAAGAGACCAAAAAATGCAGATGAGCTGAAGGCCACTGTCAAAGAAACCTGGGCTACCATACCACCTCAGCAGTGCCACAAACTGATCACCTCCATGCCACGCCGAATTGAGGCAGTAATAAAAGCAAAAGGAGCCCCTACCAAGTATTGAGTACATGTACAGTAAATGAACATACTTTCCAGAAGGCCAACAATTCACAAAAAAAATGTTTTTTTTATTGGTCTTATGAAGTATTCTAATTGGTTGAGATTGGGTTTTTATTAAATGTGAGCCAAAATCATCACAATTAAAAGAACCAAAGACTTAAACTACTTTAGTCTGTGTGCATTGAATTGATTTAATACACAAGTTTCACAATTTGAGTTGAATTACTGAAATAAATGAACTTTTCCATGACATTCTAATTTATTGAGATGCACCTGTATTATTCAGCACCTCTGCATATATAGACAGGCCTAATTTCGCGTAGTGGAATCTTTAGCGAATTTAGTAATACAATAAGTCTTAAAGACATGCTATATTTTTCCTTAGTATTTTATTGTGTTGCTGACTTAGGTTGGCTTTCCCTTTAACAATAATCTATGGCATATGGCAGCCCTCTACTGGCCAGATATCAGACGTACACAACATACAGTACTTTCGTTTTCTCAGTATTGAAACACTTCACTTGGTTGCTCGGCTCTCTTTCACTTCATTGTTGTGAGTATGTTTTAATTTGATTTGCAATGACCTACCTGAGTTACTGTGTTCCTCACAAAAATACCACGGTAAACGTAGTTATAACTCTGGTAATGCACTACTGAACGGTTCTGAAAGTTTAAGAGAGATCTGACATTTAGTCAGTGATTCAAACTAGTCACATCTCGACTCCTTCAAAGACTTTACTGAGGTAAGTTATGTTAATAATAAAAAAGTACAATCTCATTCTGCTTTAATTTGATTGCACTGACCGCACTCGTACATCTCGGAGACGTCTATTTGACGTCTGCATTACATCTGGAAGACCTATTTGTTAGAGTGTTTGTTCACCTGCAATACGTCTATAGGAAGTTTCCTATCAGATGTCAAATAGACGTTTAGAAGATGTCTTTAAGATGTTTATGATTTAGAATGTACTGTATGTAAAACTGACATCTTAGAGACGTCTATCTGATGTTTGTACACAGCAGATGCTTTCCAGATGAAGCGATCTTTAACAGACGTCTTGCAGACGTACGTGTGCTCTCTGGGGACCTACTTATTTTCCTCACAAAACAGTTAAAACTCTTAACTATTATAGATTCTGAGAGTTTCAACTCTCCAAAATGACTTTACCAAGATAATATGCTTTTAATTTAATGTCAGTAGTCAAATCTTATTGTCAAAAGTCTATTTTCCTATAGAGGCTACCAATAAAGAAAAATAAAACAGCTTAATAATTTTAACAGTAACATTTATAAGATAAGTGTAATAACTACCATAGAGCATGTTTTGGTAGTCTTTTATGATTCAGGATGTCACGGCCTCGCCAGGCTGATGTTCAGGCTGATACATTTGATTTATATGCAAAGAAGAATGTGAACCATTTTTTTGGATGGTTGTCAGTGCGTATGTGTGGTTGCTAGGGTGTTCTGTCAAATGGGCTTAATCTCAAGTATGATATTCATTTTCCTATAACTTTTCAATTCCATTCTGTACAGGAAGGTTTATGTGTATACTCACTATATTTTGTACTGTTGTTTGTTATACTGACTTTGATTCCAGGCACATCTGCAGACATTCCCTTCTCTGATCAAGAATGTCAATTTTTGGTACATATTCCATATCCTCGGACACCAAATCCAGCACCACACCTACAATACCCAGTTTTGGTTTAGCAACATCTTCAGGAACCAAATCCACCGCAGCTGCAGTACCCACGTTTGCTTCTTTTGCCACATCTTCAGAAACCAGCAGCACACCTGCAAAAGCCAGTTTTGCTTTAGCCGCATCTTCAGGCACCAAATCTGATCGCAATAAGCCTAAAAAAGTGGCAGTACCGCAATTCTCTCTTGGAGGTATAATATAGAATTATTTAAACAACAACTACTTTAATTAAACAGTCTCACTGCCCACTTCATAACTATTGGTTTTTATACTTTAGCAGAATTTCCACTCTTGCTGGAAAATGAGTGGAGAAATATGAAGTGGAGTGAGGAGTAAGTAGACCCACCACTGTGAAACAGGCTTTTTATAACATCCAGGTATCAGTCGCCTTTCATATTGACTTAAACAACTGTGTGTTTAGAGTGAGAGAGACACTGATGGAGTCTGTCAGGTCATTTAAACCCGCCAGTGAGACTGTTACCGAGGCCAGAGTTCTGCTGATCGGTCCGGTCGGTGCTGGCAAGTCCAGCTTCATCAGCTCTGTCCAGTCCATCTTCTCTGGACGAGTCATCAACAGGGCCATGGTGGGCTCTTCATCCTCCACCAGCTTCACTAAAAAGGTAAACGTGACTAGAACTTGCAGAAGCTTTGTGATCAAGCTAAATCTGAGGTTAACAATCAGCATTTTTGGAAGGTTTCACTGACATTTTGCCTTCATATTTTGAGAGGTTCAAGCTATATTTTGCAGTCTATTTGACTAGTTTTCATTGGTGTTTCTCAGCTTCGCTCTTACAACATCAGAGGAGCAGGAGAGAAAGCGGACGAGCCCACAGCTCTGGTCTTGTGTGACGTGATGGGTGTTGGTGAAGGAGAAAGCACTGGACTCTCTCTTCATGATGCACTGTCTGTCATTAAAGGACACGCCCCAGAGGGACACCAGGTACATTCAAGCTGGATAATAGGACATTCATGCTTTTAAATATACACAAGTGTGATTGGCAGTGACAAAACTTCAAGATTTACAGGATAGCATTAAAAACAATGGTAAAGTTTGAATTATTCTAATTCTATGACGTTGAAGTCTACACCACAACTATAACAATAAGGAATGATATCGTTGCAAACACTTTCAGAAAGATATTTTTTCCAGCTGATCAGAATCCACCAACTTTTATAGAGTTTGAGGATTTAATGATTTCTGACAGACAGTTCACTCTCCTGTGATGTGACCCTGTTCCCCTTACACACACTCTCACACACACACACACACGACGCATTACTCTGTGCTGTGCAAAACTCCGCAGTTGAACAGTCGATAGCAAATACTTAAACTAATAACAAAACATAATTTCATTACACCAAATACACAAAATAATGTTCTTTTTAGCAACATCATATGACCCCTTTAACAAGTTTTTACTGTACTGTAGAACATGACATTCTTTTTATATTAAAATTACAAGTATTTTTACACTGAACTCATCTCATAACATAACTCAATGTTGACAAAGTGTGTAGTTAACAATACAGTTATTACTGTACTCCAGTAAAACATTGCTTTGTCTTTATAGTTTAGTCCTGAGCAGCCGATTGGAGCAGAGACTGTGGGCTTCATAAGGAAACCGAGCACTAATGATAGAGTGCACTGTGTGGTGTTTGTGATAGACGGCTCGAGTGTCGGTTCATGCGCCAAAAGCTTTGGCGCAACCTTCCAGCAGTTAAGAGAGCACATCAGCAACTTAGGTGAGTTGTGTTTGAAGAATGAATCATATGTGCAACATTAGCTTCTAAAGAAACCATTCTCACAGGGGAAACGGGCTCAACAGGACAAAAACGTCACACCAGTGACGATAATTTATAATGATAATGTTTTTAAAACGTTCACAGCACAACTATAACATTAACGACACAGAGAATCAATATGGTTGAAATCACTTTCAGAGCGACTTTTTCCCAACTGATGAACAATAAAAATATTAACAGCCAATCAGAATCCATCCTGTGTTAAAGAGATCAGTTTTTTAAAGTCGGCATGAAACGGAAGTTGCGATTGTATTTTCTTCTCTACTGTGACGTATATCAGAGTGAAACGGCATCTGAAATGAGAGGGCGGGACTTAATTTCGTCCTTCGGGAATTGATTGGATCGTTTGAAGTTGGGGCGTTATGCGCCAAAAGCTTTGGCGCAACCTTCCAGCAGTTAAGAGAGCACATCAGCAACTTAGGTGAGTTGTGTTTGAAGAATGAATCATATGTGCAACATTAGCTTCTAAAGAAACCATTCTCACAGGGGAAACGGGCTCAACAGGACAAAAACGTCACACCAGTGACGATAATTTATAATGATAATGTTTTTAAAACGTTCACAGCACAACTATAACATTAACGACACAGAGAATCAATATGGTTGAAATCACTTTCAGAGCGACTTTTTCCCAACTGATGAACAATAAAAATATTAACAGCCAATCAGAATCCATCCTGTGTTAAAGAGATCAGTTTTTTAAAGTCGGCATGAAACGGAAGTTGCGATTGTATTTTCTTCTCTACTGTGACGTATATCAGAGTGAAACGGCATCTGAAATGAGAGGGCGGGACTTAATTTCGTCCTTCGGGAATTGATTGGATCGTTTGAAGTTGGGGCGTTGCTAACAAAATGGAGGCAGATCTGAATGCCAGTTTGCAGTTAGGGTGGGGGATTTCTCTCCACTGGATTCACTGCCGACACCCAAGCATGAATAAATCTTTTTCCCCCTGTGTTTATCCCAGCGTTTACCCCTCACGTCACTAGCTCCGCCCTTG